AATTAAAAGGGTGGGAGAACTCCACTGGTAAGAAATTTCTTTGGCTGGTTCCTCACTGCCATCAGCATCTTCAACATGCTGCTGTACCCTGTAGTAGTTATACTGCTAATGTAAATCTCTGTGTGCTTTGCCGCAGTAGTGACTTGTTACTGGATGAAGCAGGTGAAACTCTGCATTGACAACAAGGTGCAAGGACTGAGGTTGGCCAAAAGCCTGCTACCTCAGTCAAGGGCAAGACTGGGTTGGCCTCTGTGTTTGACACCAAGAAGAACCTTTAGCTCTGCTGTTGGCTGCAACCCAGCAGGTGTTGAGTGGTGGGGACACATGCCATGCTAGACCTTGATGTGGGAGATGGCCTCACCTGTTATGAGGGAGCCATCCAGGAGAGAAGGGCAGGCCCAGCAGCCTGTGTTTGGCATATGTTGGAGATATGATCTAGTCCAAATCCCCTGCTCAAGTAGGGTCATCTAAAGCAGGTATTGATAGGAAATATATATTTTTTAAAAAAGGGGGAATGCAAAGATTTTCTCCACACGGACAGTTAGCAAAAGTGCAATTTGTACTAAATTCTTTAAATTTTTCTGGTTTTGATTCTCTTTCCACAATACAGCGATTGCGACACCTGACGGACGATTCCTTGCCCAAACCACCGGTTCTATATAAAGACCTACAGGATAACGAGTGGAAAGGACCAGTGCCGTTGCTGATGTGGGGTCAAGTATATGGCTGTGTACAGCTATCAACAGGACCATACTGTCTGCCAGCGAAAGGTATAAAGCCCGAGAACTCAATAACATAAAGAAACAACAATGACAGAAATCTTTGTAATATCTGTTCTATTATGTGGGACCATGGGTAATGGACAAGTATACTGGACACATTTGTTAAATCCCCGATTATTCCGACCTATTACATGGTGTGTAGGATTCACTGGAATGCCACATGTTATAAAGGTTCAAGTGACTTCAAATCAGACTAGTCTTACTGAAATAATGCTGCCTGGAGTATGTTATGTTATGGTGGTTATATTAATTACACAGGTCAAGCAGTGATAGAGCAGACACACCAAATTGTAAAAAACATGCTAGCAAAACAGAAAGGAGGAATGATAGGGGAGACCCCAAATGCACGAATCAATAAAGCATTGTCTTAATTTAACATTATCCAGTTCTGATTTACACATGGGCATGAAAGTCCCCCCAATGATTAGGCATTTTTCTGCACTAACCCATGTAGGCGCAAATCCGATACCAGAGAAAGAACCCATTATGGTAATGGTAAAGTCTTTGGAAAATCATAACTGGGAAGGTCCTTTTAGGTTAATAACTTGGGGAAGAGGCTATGCTTGTGTCTCCACAGAACGAGGACCCCGATGGATCCCCGCGTAAAGTACCCATCCGTTTATACAAGCGATGGCTGCCAATGAAGATTGATGCCAATTCATAGCTGGTTTGAAGTTAACCCATGGGAACTGTACAAACTGAACCAGTCTCTTTTTGGAGAACCAGTCAATGGAGATCGTATCCATGTGGGAGCATATAGCTACTGGACTTTCCAGCCACTAGTAACAGACTGGGAACATTTAAGCCCAGAAAGGGTACCACTGGACAACAGGGTTGCTTTTAGACATTGATTCTGTGAGGCATGCCTCACTACAGAACAGAACGGCTGTTGATTTTTGTTAGCTTAAAGTCATGGGTGTGAAGATTTTGATGGCATGTGCTGCATGAATTTATCAGATCATCCATAAAAGCATTCTGGACTTAATAACAAGGACAGAACACCTTCAGGAAGATGAGGGACTGAAGTGGTAAGGATGATCTGTATAGCAATTCAGGGACACACGTTAGGAGGAGCTATCCTCCGTGTCTCCCAGAGCAGCAATAAAGAATACCTGCTTGTCAACTTGAAACTTTGTTGGCGAGTTTGTTCCTGGAGTTTTCTCCAAATCAATTTGGCACCGCAGATGGGACCCTCTCTGCTCTGCTGCAGGACCCGCTGAGGACAGGGCTCCCTAGGGCCCTCAGGAGTTTTTCCCGGAGGGACCCCTCAACATATTCGGATTTCTGCGAGAGAAGACAAGGACCATCTCATAAAAGGTATTCTTTTATATAGTTCTGTAAGATGCAGGGGGCATCTCGGTTTGGTAAATTGGTTTGGTAAGCGTACACATGGTTTGGAAGCCTTCCGTAAATCGAGACAGGAAATCTCATGGGTTAAGGTGTATACCCGGCTGCTGGCGTCCATTTGGTATACACCCAGAAGAAGTAGGGGGCATCTTGTGGTTTGGGTACTGCAAGACGCAGTGGGTGTCTTGTAGAAAAGGTTTTGGTTTTTACCGGTATACAATCACAAGAAGAAGGGGGCATCTTGTGGTTTGGGTCCTGCAAGACACAGTGGGCATCTTATAGAAAAGGTTTTGGATTTTACTGTTATTTGACTTATGTTGTGGCTTGTTATAGTTATGATTTTGGTCTTGTGATTTTGGTATTGGTGACAGACTTGTATAACTGTTAATTGTAAGTTTGATACAATGTTAGTCTCTGTCTCAAGTGTTGTAACTGTGCGGAGTGTGTCTGTGAGATCCCGTGTGTGTGAATGCGAGACTGATACTGGTGGCCATTGTATACTCTGGGGGAACAGGAAAAATGGCCTAAAAATGGAACTTGGAACTATGATAGATTGTTACAATTAATGTTGTTTTTGAGGGGAAAGGAAAATGGAATGAAGTAATGTATGCAGATATGCTTTTCAGTTTAAGAAACCTCCCCAAGTGACAGACGGAATGAGAAATTAATATAGATCCGACAGATCCCTTAATTTTGGCTTTGGGAAAGGACAGGAAAAAAACCTGAATGTAAGCGGCGAGGAGAAGCAGACAGGCCAACCCAATATGGGTGATAAGCAACTTCTACTTCATTTGTGACGCAGTTCACACATATATAGGAGTGGTATTCAGCCACTCCTTCTTGACATAACAGTACTGGTTAGCCCCCACTGGTAAGTCCTTTGGCTTAGCTGCCTGCAGTAACTATCACTGTGGCAGCCGTGGCTGCCGTGTCTGTCACTGGGGTTGGAGCGGCTGACGTGTCTGTCACTGGGGTTGGAGCGGCTGCCGTGTCTGTCACTGGGGTTGGAGCGGCTGCCGTGTCTGTCGCTGGGGTTGGAGCGGCTGCCGTGTCTGTCGCTGGGGTTGGAGCGGCTGCCGTGTCTGTCGCTGGGGTTGGAGTGGCTGCTGTGTCTGTTGTAGGGGTTCGGGGAACTGCTGTGCTTGGGGTTGATTGGCTGCGTTGCCTGTTGCTTTGCCATCAGATCCAGAGACATGTTTTTCCCTTTGAACGTGTTGGATAGTGTTGTGCTGGGCTGTATAGGCATAGGCCAAGCCCCAGCAAGTTGTCATGATTTGTGCCTCTTTGGTATTGTCAGGATGACAGCACACCTCGTTTAAGTGTTTTACTAGTTTTTCCAGATTTTGCACTTGTTCAGTGGTGAAGCTCCAAAGCACTGGAGGGGCCCACTGGCCCAGATGCTTGTCCATAGGATCCCGCACAACCTGCCACTCATGACTGTCCAGCCTTGGGGAAAATCCCTTGGTGGTCCTCTTATATCATCGTCTAACCCTAGGCAAGACCCGAGCCTGACCCTGCTCAGCTTTCAAGATCTGACGAAATACTGTGTTCTCAAGGTGGGATGGCTGTGGGTAAAATGCATGCTATCTGTGTAGCAACATGCTGATTCTCTGCAAAAGCAGCAGACAGGTTTCAGAGGTATTCAAAGGCCCTCCAAAACCTTTAGTATTCTCAAATGCTGCTGTAAATTAGCCTGTTGGGGAGTGGGGGGTGTGAGGGAATGTCTTCTTCATAGGTTGACCCTTCAAGGAGGGGGGAAAAAAGAAAATATGTGTAATTGCTAAAATTTCTCATTATATGCCTCCCAAAGTATAGAAGTGATGACCATACTGGGAATGCAAGCTAGACCAGTTTCATGATCAATGATTCTATTGTATTACAAGTCATTACCATAAAGTACAGTGAAACAAGAACCTTAGCCCAGGCTCCATAGCTGAATAAACACTAAAACAGTAAATACTGGCTATAAGTAAGGTGCGACATTCTGAAACTCCGAGATCAAGCGCAACAACTGAGCAAATAAATCGGCATTGTGACGAGTGACTATGAATCTGAAGCAATGAATGCTTATCACAAATACGATTAGACACACTCTGGTCAGATGTGGTGTTGTCTCAACCCTTTGTGCCCCACATTGGGAGCCAAGAAGATTTGACTGGGGAAGAGAATCGAAAGAATGTAACTCCCACAGGTTGAGATAAGAACAGTCCAATAACTAAGGTATAACACAAAACCACTATTGCTACCACCAATAATAATAATGATAAGGGAAATAAAAAGGGGAGAGAGTACAACCACTCACCACCCACCGACCGATACCCAGCCCGACCTGAGCAGTGATCTAGCCCTTCTGGGTAACTCCCCCCAGTCTATATACTGGGCATGATGTGCTGTGGTATAGAAAACCCCTTTGGTTAGTTTGGGTCAGGTTTCCTGTCTCTGCTTCTTCCTGGCTTCCCCTCCTCCCTGGCAGATCATGAGACTCAGAAAGTCCTTGGTCGGAGTAAACATTACTTAGCAACAACTAAAAGCATCGGTTTTATCAGTGTTGTTCCCAGGCTGAAAGTGAAAAACACAGCACTGCACCAACTACTAAGAAGGAGAAAAATGGCTGCTACTGCTGAACCCAGGACACCAGGTTAAGTTGTAGTTTGGCTTTGCCCCTTTGATTTTTTTTTTTTTAGCTTTTTTTTTTTTCCCTACATAACTTCACAACATTCATGTAGTCCCCTTGAGTTGTCTGCCCCTCCCTTACCTTCCCCCCCCCCCTTCCCTTCCCTGAGTTTCAGCCAAATCTCTTTTCACACATGGACCCCTTTACCCTTCAGGACTGCATCCCTAGGTAGGCCAAAGTTTGCCCTCCAGAAGTCCAAGATGGCAGTTCTGCTCACCCCTCTTCTCTAAGAAACAAAACCCATCATTTCATGATTTGCAGCCCTGAGAAGGACTTGGGGATGATAGTTTACAAGAAGCTCTGCATGACCCAGCAATGTGCACTTGTAGCCCAGGAAGCTGTATGCTGGGCTACATCAAAAGGAACATGACCGGCAGGTCAAGGGAGGAGATTGTCCCCCTCTACTCCACTCTTATGGGAACCCACCTGGAGGACTGCATTCAGTTCTTGGGGTCCCCAATACAAAAAGGATGTGGATCTGCTTGAACAAGTCCAGAGGACGGCCACAAAGATGATCAGAGGGCTGGAGCACCTCTCCATTGATGACAGGCAGAGAGAGCTGGGCTTCTTCAGCCTGGAGAAGAGAAGGCTGAAAGTAAAAAACACAGAACTGCACCAGCTACTAAGGAGAAAAATGACTTCTACAGCTGAACCAAGGACAGTATCCACCCCTTATTCCATACCATCCAGGTCATGCTCAGATCCAAAATTTTCAATATACCATTGCTTTTTGTCTCTTAATATATATACATATATGCACACACAAAGAGAGGTATATCATAACTTATTCCATGGACCATCTTTATAAATTTGCTGAATTCATGAAGTCCATGATGTCAGGCTCCATCTCTTGTAAACGTCTTTCAGGGCAGGAGAGACAATGTGTAGTGTTGCATTGTTACCTGCTGACGACACGGCTGAATTCATCAGGTCACTGCTGATCTTGTCTGGTTTCATCAAAGCTCACTGGCTATTTTCACCCAAAGTTAAATCCCCTTGAGGTATGTACTGCAGTTCCCCATCTTCCCGACAGGTATATCCAGGTCCCTGAGTGAAAGCAGTCCCATGAGTGGGTTTACCTTTACCAGAAGCAGGAATAACCCAGACTTTCTTCCCCAGCAAATTCTTTATGTGCACCACAGGAACTTTATCCCCTTCTACAGCATGTAAAAGATCTGACTGGGCTGGGCCAGCCTTGTTGGCAGATACCCTCGTGTTGACCAACCAGGTGGCTTTTGGTAAATGCGTATCCCAGTGTTTGAAAGTCCCACCACCTATTGCTCTCAGTGTAGTTTTTAACAGCCCATTGTACCGTTTGATTTTCCCAGAGACTGGTGCGTGACAGGGGAATGTGATATACCCACTCGATGCCATGTTCTTTGGCCCATGTGTCTATAAGGTTGTTCTGAAAATGAGTCCCATTATCTGACTCAGTTCTCTCTGGGTTGCTGTGTCGCCACAAAATCAGTTTCTCAATGCCCAGGATAGTGTTTCGGGAAGCGGCGTGGGGGACAGCGTATGTTTCCAACCATCAGGTGGTTGCTTCCACCATGGTAAGCACATGGCGCTTGCCTTGGTGGGTTGGTGAAAGTGTGATATAGTCAATCTGCCAGGCCTCTCCATATTTGTATTTAAGTTATCATCCTCCATACCAGAAAAGCTTTAACTGCTTGGCATGCTTAATTGCAGCACGTTTCACACTCATGAATAACCTGGGCAATAGTGTCTATTGTTAACCCCTCGATCGTGTGCCCATCTGTATGTTGCATCTCTGTCCTCATGGCTTGAAGTGTCATGTGCCCACCGGGCCAAAAATAGTTCACCCTTATGTTGCCAATCTAAGTCCTTCTGAGCCATTTCAATCTTAGCAGCTTTATTCACTTGTTGGTTGTTTTGGTGTTCCTCAGTGGCCCGACTCTTGGGTACATGGGCATCTACATGACGTACCTTCACTAGCAGGTTCTGCATCCAGGCAGCAATATCTTGCCACAGTGCAGCAGCCCAGATGGGTTTACCTCTGTGTTGCCAGTTGCTCTGCTTCCACTGCTGCAACTACCCCCACAGGGCATTTGCCACCATCCACAGGTCAGTTTAGAGATGAAGTACTGGCCATTTTTCTTGTTCAGCGATGTCCAAGGCCAGCTGGATGGCTTTCACCTCTGCAAATTGATTCGATGCGGTTTCTGCATCTTGTCGTTGGGGACTCTATACGGCTGCCTTCTATCTCCGATGCTTTCCCACAATACGGCAAGACCCATCAGCAAACAAGGCATACTGCTTTTCACTTTCTGACAGTTTATTATATGGTGGGGCCTCTTCAGCGCACATCACCTCCTCCTCTGGTGACGTTCCAAAATCTCTGCCCTCTGGCCAGTCCATGATGACTTCTAGAATTCCTGGATGATTGCAGTTTCTTGTTGGAGCTTGTCGAATTAGTGTAGCCCACTTATTCCATGTATCATTGGTTGCATGATGTGTGGAGGAGACCCTGCCTTTGAACATCCAGCCCAGCAGGGGCAACTGGGGTGCCAGGAGGAGCTGTGCTTCAGTGCCAATCACTTCTGAAGCAGCTCGAACCCCTTCATAGGCTGCCAGTATCTCTTTCTCAGTAGGAGTATAGCCGCCCTTGTATCCTCTGTATCCCCAATTCCAAAAGCTGAGGTGTCGACCTTGAGTCTCCCCTGGAGCTTTCTGCCAGAGGCTCCAGGTAGGACCATTCTCCCCGGCTGTGGTGTAGAGCACATTTTTTTACATCTGGCCTGGTCTGGCCTGGTCCAAGGGCTACTGCATGAACTCTGTCTCGTTTAATTTGCTCAAAGGCTTGTTGTTGCTCAGGGCCCTATTTGAAATCATTCTTCTTCTGGGTCACATGATAGAGAGGGCTTACAATTGAACTGTAATTTGGGATGTGCATTCTCCAGAACCCCAACTCTAAAGAAAGCTGTTTTCTTTTCTTATTGGTTGGTGGAGGCATTGTTGTAATTTTGCTGATCACATCTGTGGGGATCTGGTGATGTCCATCTTGCCATTTTATTCCCAATAATTGAATCTCCTGTGCAGGACTTCTGATCAGATGCTGTCCCGTGTAATAAATGCATTGTTTCTTTATCTTTCTTTGCTCTACAGGTTGCTTTTTGTGCATCTTTTTTGCTTTTCCCCTTGCGTACAGGGGCAGCCGATATTGGCATGAATTGGTCCTCTGGTTTAGCTGCAGTGATTATCACTGTGGTTGGAGTGGCTGCATGTCCTGGGTTCAGCAGTAGCAGTCATGTTTTTTCCTTTGTGTTAACTGGTGCAGTGCTGTGTTTTGACTTCTAGTTTTGAGAACAGCGTTGGTGAAGCCGATGTTTTCGGTTGTTGCTAAGTGATGTTTACCCTGACCAAGGACTTTGTGAGGCTCATGCTCTGCCAGGGAGGAGGGGAAGCTGTGAGGAAGCAGAGACGGGGCGCCTGACCCGGGCTAGCCGGGGAGGTATTCCATACCACAGCACGTCATGCCCGGGGTGGGGGGTAACTGGGAGTTGCCCGGAAGGACAGGGGCTTCCGGGTGGAACTCGTTTTCTTGGCCGGTGGTATCGTATTCTCTTCCCTTGTTATTTTCCCTTATCATTGTTTTAGCTGATAGTAGCGGTGGTGATTTGTTGCTGGACTGTTCTTGTCTCAACCCGTAGGAGTTGCACTCTCTCGATCCTCCTCCCCGTTCCTCCGGGAGCGGGGAAGGGGAGAGCCCCGGTGCAGGGAGGGGGGGGAGACGAACACGGACCTTGATTGTTGTCAGCTTGGCACCACTCACTGGGAGTGAGTGAACAAGTTACCTGACTGGGTTTAAACCACGACAGTTCTTTTTGGCGCCCAACGTGGGGCTCGAGGGGTTGAGATAAGAACAGATCTGACTGGATTGATAGTCACTCGTCACAATGCTGATTTATTGGCTCTCAAGGTTTTTCCTCTTGATCTCACAGTTTCAGTATACCATATCTTACGTCCATCCGGTATTGGCTGTATTAGTGTTTTTCAAGTGTGGGGCTTGGGCTAAGGTTTTTATCCCATTGTACTTTATGGTAATGACTTGTAATACAATAGAATCATTGATCATGAAACTGATCTGGTTTATGTTCCCAGTGTGGTCACCACCTTTATACTTTGGGAGGTATATGATGGAGGTGCTTAGCAATTACACATCTTTTTTCTCCTTCTCAGGTGCTCAACCTGTGAAGGAGACATCCTTTTACCCTCCTAGTCGTCCCCCCAGACCATTTACATTTGAGAGTTTTGAATTTTTTAAATGGCCTTTTAATGCTCTTGAGACTTGTTTGCTGATGGTGATGGGAATCACCATGCTAACACGCATACAGAGTGTGTTTTGCCCACTACTGATTTCAAGAGTTAAGCAGATTCAGGTTTGGGTCTTGTCTGGGGTCAAACGACGATGTAGGAGGACCGAGAGATTTTCCCAGAGGCTGGACAGCCATGAGTGGCAGGGTGTGTGGGATAGTATGGGCAAGTATCTAGGTCAGTGGGCCCCTCCAGTATTTTGGAATTTCACTACCGAACAACTGCAAAATCCAGAAGAATTAGTAAAACACTTAAATGAGGTGTGTGGTCATTCTGGCCATACCAGAGATGGACAAATCACGGCAACGTGCTGGGGCTTGGCCTATGCTTACAGGGACTTGTTCAACACTATTCAGCACCTTCAAAAGGAAAAGAATGTCGGCGGATTTGAGGGCAAAGTGACAGTCGCTACTCAAACTTTGGCTGCAATGAACTGCGCAGCTACCCCAGTGGCAAGTACAGCAGCTGCTCAAACTTCAACTGCAACAGACAGCGCGGTTACCCCAGCTCCAAGCACGGTAGCTACACCACCCCCAGCAACAAGTACAGTCGCTACTCAAACCACAGTGATAATCACTGCAGCCAAACCAGAGGACCAATTCGTACCAATATCAGTTGCCCCTGTACGCAAGAGAACAAGCAAAAAGGAGGCAAAAAGGGTGAAGCGAGATGAAGAACCAATGAATTCACCACCCGGTCCAGAATCTGATCAGGAGTCATCCTCACATGACGAAGAAGAAGAAGAAGTAACTTCTCGACCTCGGACCTCAACCGAGCTGCGGAATATGCGAAAAGATTTTACCCGTCAACCAGGGGAGCACATCATCACCTGGTTACTCCGATGCTGGGACAATGGGGCCGATGGTCACGAACTAGAAGGTACAGAAGCCAAGCAGCTGGGATCACTTGCTAGAGAAGGGGGAATTGACAAAGCAATTGCAAGAGAGAAAAAGTCCCTCAGCCTTTGGAGGAGGCTCTTGGCAGCTGTGAAAGAAAGGTTTCCGTACAAGGACGATGTTACGAGTCGTTCGGCCAAGTGGACTACTATAGACAAAGGCATCCAGTCTCTGAGGGAATCGGCCATCGTAGAGATGATCTATCACATCAAGCCGAATAACGGGGATACACCTATAGATCCAGATGAAGTTGAATGTACACGACCCATGTGGCGAAAACTTACACGGAATGCACCGTCATCATATGCCCATTCATTGGCAACAGTGACCTGGAATGACATAGTACCACTAACAGTGGATGAAATGGTTCATAAACTCCGAGAGTTCGAAGACAATCTCACTCCTTCCATCATCTCAGCTGTGAAAAAACTGTCCCAGGACCTCGACAAATTGAGGGACGATGTATCTGATTTATCCAGCTCCTCACGTGTACCAACACGCGTCTCAGCTATTAACAAAAGACGTCCTATTGTTCAAGAGAGGAGATACAGAAGGTATACGCCACGGGGTACCCTATGGTTTTACCTGCTGGATCACGGAGAAGACATGACAAAGTGGGATGGAAAACCTACTTCAGCTTTGGAGGAACGGGTGAGTGAACTGAAGAGGGGAGCAAGGGCCAAGACTGATCGTCCCATGAGAGCTACGGCTTCAGTCTCTGGTGAGCAGTTTCCCAGATGGAGTGGAAGAGCTGATTTTACTCCAGCTCC